ATGATGATGAGGATGTTGATGATGATGCTGTTGGTGATGATGATGTTGATGATGATGCTGATGATGAGGAGGCCGATGATGATAGTGATGATGTTGATGCTGATTACATATGCTTATGACGATGACGGTGATGATTTCGATGGTGATCAAGATGGTGTTGCTAATGCGTTGATGGCGATGCTGGTTATGACGGTGATGATGCTTGTCATGGTGCTGTTGGTCATGGTGATGCTGGTCATGGTGATGATACTGATGATGCTGATGATGAGGATCGGGATTTTGATGATGCTGATGATAAGGGTGAGGGTGAGGATAATGACGATGATGATGATGATATTGATGATGTTGGTGATGCTGATGCTGATTGGTATGGTGATGATCGTGATGTATCTTCCGGTTATGCTGGTGATGTCGTTGATGGTGGTGATGGTAGGATTGGTGTTCATCGTGATGATGGTGGTGATGGTGGTGATGATGGTGACGATGGTGAAGCTCGTGATGATGGTTGTTGTGATGGAGATGTTGGTGATGAGGATGGGGATGCGGATCATGATGTTGTTCAGGATGCTGATGAGGATGTTGATGGTGACGATGATTCGGATGCGGCTGCGGATGATGATATAGATAATGATACACCTGATGATCATAAACCTGATGCTTGTGACTTGATGATGGTGGGGAAGGATGTGGTGGTGATGTTGGTTATGGTGATGATGATGATGATGTTGAAGCCGCAGATGATGATGATGATGTTGCTGATGGTTGTGATGCTGGTGCTGATGGTGACCATGGTGATCATGGTGACGATGATGATGATGCTGGTGATTATGGGCATGAGGATGAGGGATACTGAATTTGAGGATGCTGATGCTGCTGATGATGATGAGGAAGTGGCCGATGATTATGTTGACTATGATACTGATGATGCTGATGACGGTGCCGATGGTGCTGGTGGTGATGATGATTGTGTTGGCGATGGTAATCATGATGGTGATGGTCGTGATCGTAGTAAATATTGCTGTGATGGTGATGCTGGTGATGTTGATGATGATCGTGATGGTGGTGATGATGCTGATGTGAATTCGGCTGATGACGATGATGATGCTGACGATGATGACGTGACGATAACACTGATGATGCTTATGATGATAAGTGTGATGATGCTGCTAATAGTAAGGATGATGCTGATGATGCTGATGACGGCGATGATGCTGACGATGATTGTGATGATGATGAGGATGATGATGATGTGCGTGGTGGTGATGCATGTGGTCATGATGTGTATGATGATGATGATGATGATGCTGATGCTGACGATGATGATGATGTTGGTGATGCTGTGGGTGATAACGGTGATAAATGTAAGGATGACGATGGTCATGATGATGATACTGCTAATTCTGATAATGATGATGATGCTGAAGGTGCTGATGAGGATGATGGTGATGATGCTGATGGCGGAGATGATGCTCATGATGGTGATACTGCTGATGCGTACGATGATGCTATTGCTGGGTTTACTGATGATGTGTGTGACGATGGTGATGCAAGTGATGGTGGTTGTGATGGTGATGGTGATGCTGAGGATGATGATGAAGATGGATGGGATGCGGATGAGGATGAGGATGGTAATGATGATGATGGCTATATCGATGATGTTGATGATGATACTGACCATGATGATGGTTGTACTGGTCTTGACGGGGATGATGATGACGATGCTGATGATGTCGATGATGATGATGACGATGATCATGGCTATGATGATGATGCTGATGATGATGATGGTGATGCAGATGGTGATGATGACGATGATAATGATGATAGTGATGATTGTGTTGACATTGGTGACGATTGTGGTGGTGATGGTGGTGATGGTGGTGATGCTGGTGATGATTGCGATGGTGATGGCGATGCCGATGCTGCTGCTGATGCTGATGATGAGGGCGAGAATGATGATGTTGATCATGATGATGATGATGATGATGATGTTTATGATGGCGTACACTGTGTTGGTGACTATGGTGATGCTGGTGGTTATGGCGACGATGATGGTCATGGTACTGAGGATGATGGGTATGGCGATGATGATTATGGCGATGAAGATGCTGATGCTGCTGATGATGACGATGATGATGCCGATGGCCGTGATGACGGTGATTGTGGTGATGGTGTTCATGATGGTGAGGTTTATCATGATGATGGTGCTGAGGATGAGGATGATGAGGATGATGAGGATGCTCCTGCTGATGATGAGATTTAGGATGGGAATGCTGATAATCATATTGTAGCTGATGATTGTGATGATTCTCTCGTTGATGATGGCGATGATGACATAATTTCATGAGTTTGATGATGGTGTTGATGGTGATGATGGTGGTTGTGATGATGACATCGATCATGATAATGCTGAGGATGATTGTGATGCTGGTGATGCTGCTAATTCTGGTGATGAGAGTGATGATGAGGATGTTGATGGTGTTGATGAGCATGATTTTGATGACGCTAGTTGCGATGATGTTGGTGATGATGATGATGCTGATGATGATGATGCTGTCGGTGCCTATGATGAAATTCATGATTTCGATGATGAGGATGGTGTTGATGATGATTTCTGCTGATGCAGGTGAGGATGACTATGGTCCTGGTAATGATGACGACGATGACGTTGATGATTGTGATGTTGGTGCTGATGATGATGATGTTGATGATGACGATGGTGGTGATGGTGGTGATGATGGTGATGATGGTGATGATTGTGATTTAGATGATGCTGATGCTGATGCGGATGACGATGATTACGATGATGATGATGATGATGATGACGATGATGCTGCTGATGATGATGGTGATGATGCTGATGATACTAATGTTGGTGATGATGGTGACGCTGTGATGACGGTGATGATGATGGTGCTGATGTTGATGGTGATGCTGATGACTGCGAGGATACGGATTAGGATGATGATGCTGCTGCTGATGGTGATCTGATGATTGTTGTGTTGATGATGGTCATCATGGTGATGATGGTGATGATGTTGCTGGTGACGCTGATGATTATGATCTTGATGCTGATGCTGCTGATGATGTTGATGTTGACAATGATGATGATGCTGATGCTGATGCAGATGCTACTGCTGCTGAGGAGGAGGGGGAGAAGGAGGCGGAGGAGAAGGAGGAAGCCGAGGAGGAATAGGAGGAGGAGGAGCAGGAGGGGGGTTAAGAGGAGGAGGAGGAGGAAGAGGAGGAGGAGGAGAAGGAGGAAGACGAGGAGGAAGACGATGAGGAGGAGGAGGAGGAGGAGGACCAGCGTGAAACCATGTTGGAATTCACCCTCCCTCCAAGCGCCCTTTTTATAGGTCCCCACGATGGTTCATAGGAACCGCTTCTTGGGAAGACAACCGTTTGCAGATCCTGAAGCATAACAAAACATTGTTTCCGGGATTTCAACGCCACGTATCAACCTGCCTGCGGCGTCTTGACGATCCGGAATCGCGCCAGAGCGCCATTTCGGGACCTCAACACCGCGAATCAACATAACTGTTGCACCCGCATAATCCTGAATCCCGTGAAACTCTTGCAACTGTTGGAAACGAAGGTGATCCGCGCTAAGGCGACAGCCACATTTTGAAAACCACGTGCCCTGAATCCGTGAAGCTCTTGCAATCGTTCTGTTAAACGAAGGTGCGCGGCGCTGATGTGAGAGCCACATTTTGAAAACCACCCGTCCTCAATTCGTGGAATTCTTCCAACAGTTCAAAATACGGCGCTAAGGCGAGAGCCACATTTTGAAAACCACTCGCCCTCAATCCGTGAAGCTCTTGCAATTTTGTTCAACGAATGTGCGCCTCGCTTTGGCGAGAGCCACATTTTGAAAACCACCCGCCCTTACACTGTAAACTTCTGTTTAACAAACCGAATGCACGCGGCGCTCAGGCGAGAGCCGCATTTTGGAAACCACGTGCCCTGAATCCGTGAAGCTCTTGCAATTTTGTTCAACGAATGTGTGCGGCGCTAAGGCGAGAGCTACATTTTGAAAACCACCCGCCCTCAATCCGTTTAAGCTTTTGCAAGTGTTCAAAATGAATGTGCGCCGCGCTTAGGGGAGAGCCACACTTTGAAAACCACGCGCCCTGAATCCGTGAAGCTCTTGCAACTGTTTTGAAACGAATGTGTGCGGCGCTAAGGCGATAGCCACATTTTGAAAACGACCCGCCCTCAATCCGTGAAGCTCTTGCAATTTTGTTTAATGAATGTGCGGCGCTGAGGCGAGAGCCACATTTTGAAAACAACCCGCCCTCAATCCGTGAAGCTCTTGCATGTTTTTAGAGCGAGTGTGCGCGGCGCTGAAGCGAGAGCCACATTTTGAAAACCACCCGCTCTCCATCTCTGAAGCTGTCGTCACTTATTTAAGCTTCAGATTCATAAGTGGTTAGGAAGTCTCAGGCGAAACGACCAGCCCGCCCTAAACACTGGCCCTGGGGTGCGACAGGGAGGAGTTTCCCAGAAGGAGAAGGAGTGGAGGAGGCACGAGGGAGAGGACAGAGCAGGAGGCGGGATGAGGAGGAGGAGGAGGAGGAACAGTTGGAGGAGGAGGAGGAGGAGGAGGAGGAGGAGAAGGAGGGAGAGGACAGAGCAGGAGGCGGGATGAGCAGGAGGTGGAGGTAAGGTTGTGGAGGAGGATGAGAAGGAGGAGGAGGAGGAGGAGGAGGAGGAGGTGGAGCAGGAGGGGGGTAATAGCAGGAGGAGAAGGAGGAGGAGCAGGAGGAGAAGGATGAGGAGGAGGAGGAGGGCGAGGAGGAGGAGGAAGAGGAGGAGGGGTAATAGGAGGAGAGGGGAGGAGGAGGGAGGGAGTAGGAGGAGGAGGAGGAGGAGGAGAAGAAGAGGAGGGGAAGGAGGAGGAGGAGGACGAGGACGAAGCCGAGGTCGAGGACGGTGACGACGGGCACGGCGGCGGGGGCTCTGCGTGGAGCCGCCAGCGCCCGCTCGGGCGCCGCGAG